ATACTAAGAAGTGAAAGATCGATATTATATTGGGCAGCCGAATATCACGATATATCGCCAAAACGATTATTTCCCACACCCCTAATGATCAGTATGAATGACTTATTTTGTAATGTAGGATGTTAGAAAATACTTGGTTAAGTGATATTACTTAAACAGAGATGACTAATTTGTAGAGGCGAGTATTGGCATATGTGTTGCGATATGATTAATGCCACAATACTTGGGTCAGGATATGATATTATCACAATATTTCAATATCACTATATATAATGATATTCTAGGAAGCCATCAAAATTAAATGTCAATCAGAATCCATGTTGTTTGGGGTTTGAATCAGTCCACGTCTTCCACTGTGACTGCCTCAGCAACAAATGGTGCAGCGGCGCACAGCAAAAGGGCTCAACATTCTATCTGCCCTAGTTGCGGTGCAGAAGTAGCTCATTTTCCCTTATTGTTGTAGATTAAAAAAAATGTTTTTAATGGATATTATGAAGATCGATATTATATTGGGCAGCTGAAAATCACAATAAAACTTAAAAAATAAGCAGATTATCAGCCTGCTTATATCAGAATTCAAATGCATGTTCCAATCTATGATTTTTGGCCAATATCAAACTGATTAATGATATCAGTGTTTGATCAGGACAGCTCTAGCTTCAGATGCATATCTCCAAAGCCTAAAGGCCTGGTTATCCTCCCTCAGCGGTCAGTTGCAGTAAACTTGACGCAGATATTTTTTAATTATGCACAATATTGAAGCATGGTCTGTACTATATCATTCCACGCCACAACCCAAGAGGGACAATCAGGAACTAGCTGTGGGTCTAGATATGGCCGAGGCGGTGAGGAAGTGGGGGCAAGTTTGCGCAACAACGGAGGGACATGAGGGTGAAAAAGAGCGGGGATCCAGGTGGAAAAAGGGTCCCAGCGTTCTTGTGCACCTCACTCTTCTAGCTGGTCCAACTTCACGAGTCGTTTTCCACAATGGCGGTCATACAAACAAAACAAGCTGGTAAGGAACCAAACAGGAAATACGCATAGTGTAGAGTGGATGTAGATTTGACCAATCAGAGGCCTCCTGTCTGAGAGGTGCACCAGAGTGTCTGTGGAAGGGGTAGACCTGGTTTCTGGGTATAAAGCCGCCTAAACAAGGGAAGGTTTTAGATTATTGGGTATTAGGACGGGCTGCTCAGTGCCGCAGTGGGTAGCACTGCTGCCTTGCAGCAAGAAGGTTCTGGGTTCAATTCCAGGGATCTTTCTACATGGAGTCTGAGCATGCATGGGTTCTCTCCGGGTACTCCGGCTTCCTCCCACAGTCCAAAAACATGACTGTTAGGTTAATTGGCTTCTCTAAATTCTCCTTAGGTGTGTGTGCGTGAATGGTTGTTTGTCCTGTTTGTCTCCGTGTTGCCCTGCGATGGACTGGCGACCTGTCCAGGGTGGACCCCACCTCTCGCCAATTGACAGCTGGAGATAGGCACCAGCACCCCTCGCGACCCCACTTGGGATTAAGCATGTTATAAAATGGATGGATGGATGGGTATTAGGACTACATTCACCACAGCGGTTTGTGAACCTGTTGAGGAACTGATTTCACTTTAACAAAGCTCACATTTACCAAGATGATTTATTAACCTGAATTTCCTTTCCCAGCTTCTCTTTTAATTTCCACAAATGACCCTAGAAGGCCTCCGTAGTTGTTGGCTCAGCTTTGCTAAAAGGACTGAAATTTATATAATGCATTTCTAGTCATAACTGCCACTCTCAGTGCTTAACAGCAGCCTTGTTAAAGTCTACATTTTCTAAACGCTTGTCCTGCTTCAGAAGGTCATCTGTTACTACATTTAGGTGGCACCCTATAGAAATCTGTGTTTACAGTGCAGCGCCTCGGAACCGGCGGTAATAGAAAGCCAGAAGCCTAGCCGGGGAAGTGGGCTGTTATTCATCACTCGACTCTCCAACACAATTATCTGTCACAACTGCAGCACTCTGTTGATTTACAGCCGGATTGGTAATTTCTGCACGCCGCCTGGAGCCACTCGGCTCTCCAGCTGACCCAGAGTCATAATGTTTCACACTCAAAGTCATTTTCATTAAAAAGTCAAGGAGCTTTACAGACCTTTGATTAGCTGTGATTTTGTTGATAACGGGGTTCGCTGTGACACACAGACAGTGGAAGCAGGTGCTGCATGTTATGCACCGTTTACTGTACATCCATAGGCTGCAGCGCTCACACTAACGGGAACATTCGCATACTGCACTGTGGAAACAATGATTATTTCTGTGTCGTATGAAAATGTCTAATATTTTATTTATATTATATTTATACTTTTATGAACGGTTCATTCGCTGCTGCAGCAGGCCCCTTTCTCCGGCCTCAAAGTGAGCTATAACCCAATCAGAGAAGATATTTCATATAATTAATCTCACAACAAACTGAGCTCTCTGCTGGATATTTTCCGTCATTCATTTTCTGGGCCAATTTTATAGAGCCAAAAGTTCAAATGCATAATAATGACTCATAAGAGCAGATTTATTTAAAACATGCGCTCGTAAATTACTCTTTACGTGCATTTTTTTATGTTTTATACATGCAGATTCAATAACCATGAGCCTCCAAATGTCACAAGCATGAGTTCATGATCCTTCTCTGCCTTTGTAAGTTTCTACGTTTCCTTTGTTTCTTTGCAGATTAGCTAACATTTATTCAAAACAACAGGGAGGTTTCTGTAATAAGATACATCTAAGACTTGCTGCAGATTCTCCATCTGGATTTATGACTTGGCCACTCTAACATGAGAATAATCTTTGCCATTGCAGACCTGGTAGTTTGTTTCTGGTCGTATTTCTGCTAAAAGCTGGACCATCAGTGTCAGTTTAGAGTCTTTTGAAGCCTCTAACAGGTTTTCAGCTCTGCCCATCTTCACCTAAACTCTACACTGCTTGGAGAAAAGCATCCCCACAGCATGATGCTGCCATCACCATGTTTCACTGTGAGGCTGGTGTTTTTACTTTTGTCACAGAAGCTGAAAGATCAGTTTTTGTCTCATCAGACATGAGTACCTCCTTTTTTAAACTACATGGTGAGAAATTGTGCAACAAAAGTGATTAAATTATGAACAATGAAATCAGGAACAATCATGTTTTTGTTATTTCGCTGAGCGCTGCTTCCTGGCTCAGGAGGCTCCTGCACAGCTCTCCTCATGTCTCAGGTTCCCGTTTTCACCAAAGCTTCTCACGCAACCATCCATCTCCTCACCAGTGGGGCGGAAAGGACACCTCGCCTGCCTCTGCTCAGTCACTCTGATCCAGCTTTGTTTCACAGACGGCTCTATTGGACATTTTAATGTAATATGGATTGAAGAGGGAGATGTACCCCGGCTGTGTGGGAGTCCTCAACCTAATTAGTGCTGAATGTGTCGTTAAGGTTGTTGCTCCTCCTAATAAGATGTGATATAACTATAACTGTTAAAAAGTATTGATGGTTCAGCAGTTTTTAGATTTTGGTTTCTTTGCTTTGCTGACATAAATGAGCACATTCACGTGTTTTTATCCGATCCAGATTCCTGCAGCAGAGTGGGTTCTAACAGAGTAGATATGGGTGCATTTAAACAGACAGGACTACAGTTGGTGAATACTAAGAGCAGGATGGAGAGACCACTACCTGTATGAGGTCTGTTCTCACAGAACACAATCTGGCCCTGCATCAGAAATACTCCCAGGGAGCAGAAATAAATAAGAAGGTCTGACAGTCAGTCTGCTTCAGCTGATTCATGCAGCTGGTGGAAGAAGAGAAAAAAATCGGTTGCTTTTCTGGAGGTTATTGGAGGGAAAGCAGCTGGTAGGCAGACAGACGGTCTGTCTGCTCTCTGTTATCTGAAGACGGAGCCGTTTACCAAAGGAGGGCTGTTTGGTTACACCAAGAACAAACCAAACTAACTCCCTGCTTCCCTAACTTTTCTGTTTCTTTCTGTTCAGGTTAATTCCAGATGTCCCTCCCTGGGACCTGCTCCAGCTCTGATCTCCACTACACCTACTCCCTCCAGTGGTAAATTGCTCTTACTAAATTCCAACAATTACTGTTATGCTGCCTTACTGAAGGGTTTGTGGGTCAATAAGGATGGAAAAAAAATGTTATGCATTGTATAAAATTTCTTTTGATCACTGCTAAAAGGTGTGGCTTGCTTTTATATTCTGCCACCTTTCCTCTGATGCCCGATTAGAAACTACCTTAGATGTAGTTGGAAGCATCAAGCCATGAGGAAGCCGCCTTTAGCTGGATTTTTTATAAGCTGAAATGCTTTAAGGTTTGCTGAAGGTGACGGAAAAGCAGCAGAGATACTTTATACTGCATAAACGATCAAGAAATAAGTACACATTTCTTAAATTAGGTGTATTTACCCTTAATTTGAGTAAGTAAATAAGATGTTTTGCTAATGAAATGCGATTTTTTTTTACTCTTAAATAAAATAATTAGATAATATGCACTTGAAATAAGGAAATGCATGTGTTTTTTCTTATTTTAAATTTAAATTGTCTTGTTCCACTGGCAAAGTCTCTCACTCATCTCCTCAATTCAAGAAAAAAAAACTTATTTTAAAAGAAAATTACTTATTTAGATAAAAATTTTTTATAGTTCTTAAATATTAACGTAAATATATTTTTTTATTTAGACATGTTTGGTATCATTGCATAACTTTTATCATCCAAACATGAGGAGAGAAATCAACATCGATCTCTGTTTTGAAGTCTGTATTCTTTTATCACATGGCAGATTTTGCTTCCCTCTGTTACAGCGGTGTCTTTGAAGCACAAACATGGGCGCCTGGTCCTGGAGGTGCTGCTGCCGTCCAGGCAGGAGAAGTGTCTGTTCTACCTGCGACCCATGCTGATGACGGTGGGAGATATGATCGCTGATCTGCAGTCGGAGGATTCTGGAGTGACTGCTTCTCTACTCTCTGCAGGTATGTGGCTTCATATCATCACAGGGGCGTTGGTCCTGTTAGTCAGGCTGGGTTTAGAGCAGCTGGAGAACGGACTAGTTAGACAGGATGTCTGAGGATTACTTCCATTTTACTGGAGGGTATGCAAGTGGCCCACTGGTGCTAAATGATGGGAACCTTTTATAAACTGTTAGGACTGATTACTCCTGCAGCAACTATTGAGCTTTAGAAAGTAAATCATCATCTTTTACTTTATTGTATCAGGAGTGGATAACAATTGTGAAGTTAGGAAACTGAGATGGTATCATATCTTGCAAGAAAAAAGGTTCAAATTTATTCAACGTCCTCAGACGGAGAGATGGGTCAGTACACACATATACACCTTACAAAAATCCCAACACACACTCCACCCACGGGAACCAACCCACCCCCTGCATGAAGAACTCTCTCACACTTGAATATTTGGAGGAAAAACAACTTTGAGTTCATCAAGACCATTACCTGTTAGGTTAATTTATTGTTTACTGGCGAGCTGGATCTCCTCAAAACAGCAGTCCTGCCCTTCATGTCATGAAGGAGGCTGTGTAACTCAGTCTCATATCTCATGACCTTCGTTTGGAGCCTGTGAGGCTAAGAACAGACATAGCTTAACATTTTTTTACTCCACACAATGCACTATTATTCTTTCTTAAGTAGAGATGGAGCCATGTTTAACTGACTGTGTTTAACAAATGAATTGATGTATAAGTCAAACAAAAATAGAATATTAGCTAAATCCTAAAGATAACATGATTAAATGGGTATCTGACTTATCATGACTTCATGTCAAAGGTGTATAGTTCCTGGAAAGCACATCATCAGTCCTCCACCACCTTGCTTTATTGGTGATTAGAGAGAGATTAGATCTGGTTAGAAAGTAATCTTCCTATGATGGGCTACTTTTGAGGAAATACCTCTTGATACAGAACCATTTTCTTCATAGTTCTGGTTCTAGTTAGAAAAGCATCATTAAGCTTATCACTGTTTTCTTAAAATGTTGCTTTCTGACTTTATATCAAACTGCCACGTCTCTCATTAAATAAAAGTTTTATACAATGCTTAACAAAAAATGCTAAACAATAGCTGCAAACTGATAGGAAATTTAAATGTCTGCGTTCAGTTCTAAACAAAAGATCATTCAAGCCTCATTAGAAACAGTGAAGCTAACGTTAGCCTAGCTCATACCAAGTTCAACAACTGAATTGCACATGATATATAAGCCTTCATTATCCATGTGTAAAAACCTTGATGATTAAAAGTCTTATGAAGGTTATAAAAATAAACATAAGTCCATCTGATTGACATATTATTTAAATACATTTTTTTTTTTGTGTTCAGGGACTAAAAACTGTCGGTTTCTTCAGTTTTCATGGGCAGGTCAGGGGTTATGAGAGGAAAACTGGATGATTTGGACTGGTGCATGCTGGGATTGGGTTGGCTTCTGCAGCAAACAGCTGGAGGCCTCAGTATAACTAACAGTGTTTCAGTGTTTGGTGGTTCTTCTACATGTGGAGAATGTGATTGTTTTTTTATTGAAGGACCTTGATGTGTTATAAATAAAAGCATTTCATTTTAGTTCCTTATGCGCTGTTGTTGCTCTATTATAGAACATTACCCTTCATAGCCGGTGAGGAAATCGCTCTTTTGCTGCTCATTATAACCTAATCAATCTGCTGTGTCATTTCCTATGAGAGCAGTGAGTCACGGTTCAGTATCAGTGCTGGAGTCTGATTTCAAGGTCTTCATTAGGAAAATCGTTTAAATCTGAGCTGGATCCTTCCTTTTTTCCAGATGGACAATGTGTTGCCAGCACGACGCTGCTGGACACCGTGCTGCAGAAGGACTTCCAGCTCGTCATCAACGGTACCGTTTACGATATCAGCGCTCCTGAGAGAGGTAACATCTTTTCATCAGCAGTTACACGGTGGCTCATACATGATGTTATTGTAAATCTTTCCTCCTGCTCGCTTCCTCCTTGCAGTGGTTGCTTCTAGTGAGCATGCCAGGGATATGGAGGATATGAAACACGTTGTGCACCTCCTGCACACGGCGCTCCACCTCCCTGAACACCACCTGCTGCAGGAGAGACAGCTGCTAGAGAGATTGGACAACCTGAAGCAGGAGCTCACACCTCTGGAGAAGGTAGCAGAACCACTTATAATTCAGACAATAAACCTGTTTATTTGATTTATCTTTAAGCTAACATGATCGCGTTTTGCGTGTTTAAATGACCCTGAATTTTTCAGATGAAGGCCCGGCTGTCCCGAACTGCAGAGTTTCACAGCTCTAGGGTCCTCTGGACCGGCATGGCCCTGCTGTCGGTGCAGGGCGGCGCCCTGGGCTGGCTCACCTGGTGGGTGTATTCATGGGACGTCATGGAGCCAGTCACTTACTTCATCACCTACGCCACCAGCATGGGAGCCTTTGCCTACTATATACTCACCAAGCAGGTGGGCCTTAAATTAAAACCTTTTTTCTTGAATAGAACTGCAGGAAAACGGTTTTGTAGCAGCAGTATGGCAAGCCATTTTAACATTCAATCACTTAGTGTAACTATCCAGAATTATGTCACATATCTATAACAATATTTGTTGCAGTTATCAGTAATGAATGTCGAGTCATGCAATTGTACCGTAAACGGCTTTTCATGCATTTAATTAAATCCGATTTTAGCTCCATTTATTTATACAGTGCCAATTCACAACACATCATCTTAACGCACTTTACAGAGACAATCAGATCATCCACTCAGATTGATTAAAAGAGTGCTGAATGATTTTGCCAAAAATCTAATTGCATTTTTTGTTGTTGTGATTATAATTTTATTTTCTTTCCTTTGCACTAACTGCAACCATGTAGATATTTTTCACTTCAGGGTTTAACTGTTTCCTGACCTTGGAGGCATTTTTGTCCAAAGTTCAGTGCTGCAGCACTTTACTGTAACTGTCGTGAAAAAAATACTTCTACTCTCATGCATAAATCTGCTAACTAGCTCCATCTCTCTTTGTACTACTGCGTGTTAGCAAACCCACTTAAAACATATTACCACCACCTAAAGGCCTTGAGCTAAAGTCAGTGTTTCAGTCTTGTTTAATGTGACAATAATTGAGTTTCTTGCAATAAGATGTCTGTTAAACTGTGGTCCAAAGTTAAAAAAATATATATGTTTTTTCTTTTGGTTAAAATCTAAGGAAACCCAACTTGCTGCATTCAGTCATCAACATTTCAGGATTCACTCCTCCTTTGTTAGCATGTGGAGACAGTAGATATTAGCTTGCATTGAGTCATTGACTCTACAGCAATCCCTCACACTCAGCATGCATCTAAAGATAGTGGGGAGGAAAAACTCCCTTTTAACTGAAGAAACCTCATGCAGATCCAGGCTTACTGTGAGTGGCCCTCTGCTGAGTTAGACCTGGTTTTCAAGAAGAATGCAGCAGACATGGAAAATTAACATAGAAGCACTGATTCATAAATACTTTCTTTGGTAGAAAATGTAATGGCAAATTAGCTCTATAGGTGGATGTAGGAAAGAAATAGTTAAGCAGACAAGCTCTAAATGATTTGTCAAAAAGGATTAAATAGATAACTTACTTTGTCACAGTAAGAGCTGAAACCATATTATGCCTAGGGGAGAAACTGGAAAAAAAAAGTTTTAATAAAGGAAAAAAAAAAAAAAAAAGGTTTTTGTGAAAAACGTTGCTGTTTTCTCTGATTTAAAAAGAAATTATTTTAATTATTTAATTTTTTTTACAGATTTTATATTTATATAATTTTTTGTAACATTTTTGTTTTTCAGATATAGTTTTCTAAATTGCATTCTTTTTAAATTGCCTTTTACAGATCACATTCTCCTCGCTTATATTAGATGTAATAAAACCAAAATGGCAGGAGACAACAAAAAAATGTGACCTGAATTATGTCGATCACATTAAAATATAAGATTAAAAGAATATCCTATGAAGTTTTCCTTTTGCAGGCGGTGAAGACAAAAACATCAACTGCCTCCTGTTTAACTTTGCTGAGAAACGTTTCTTTTTAATGATGGTATTAACACAAATGCTCCGTGGTAAATGAGCATTTAATGAAAGAAGGAGGATTGTGGAAAAACTTATTGGAAAACCCAATAATGACACATTTTAATTTTTCTGTCTATCAGATAATCTTTTTAAAACCATTTCTTCACAAAGGCCCAAATCATGACAAACCTCCACCTTACTTACATGAGACCTTACTTACAGTTTTAAGGCGTTGCATGAAAATTACACAGGTAAAATGTTTACCAATATATACATGTTAGATATCACTGGAAAGCTTAGAGTCTCCACAATTCAACTGCCAAGTTCAGTTTATGGACATAGGGAGCACCAAAGCACAATTAACACAGATATAGCAGCATGTCACAATGTAGCATGACAAAGCAGCTACAACAAGCAAGCATGTCTTTATTACTGCTGTTCAAAAAAGACCTATTATTTTCAAGAATTAAAAAAAACAACTTTGAGTCATGTTTGAACTGATGCAGCTTGGTCTGTGTTTTACTCACCCAGTTGGTGAATTTTTATGTATTCAGAAACTAGGAAGTGTTAGCTTTCAAATAATGTAATTTGGGCTTACAGTTCCTAAGTTATTTTCTTTACCATTTGGGTATGCAAAATAGACAAGAATTTCCCAAAATGAGGTGGATATTAAGAGGTTAATCTAATTTGCAGATGTTTGACTGTGGGTAGAGTCTAATGGTTGTCATGGAGACATGCTGAGGAGTTTCTAAGAGCAATTGGTTGAATTTGTCTAAATTATTCTACTACATTAATCCCCTCCAATCAAAGATTCCTGCAATCAGTCATTCAGTCTATATTTTGGTAAACAGACTAAGATTCGTCAGCGTTCAGCTCATCTGTCCTGAATCCTAATGTGAAACAATGTTTTTCTTCAACTCTCTCCTTCAGGATTACGTTTATCCAGACGCTAAGGACAGACAGTTTCTACGGTACTTTTATAAGGGGGCCAAGAAGAAGCAGTTCAACGTGGAAAAATACAACAAACTGAAGGATGAACTGGAACAGGTGACCCACCTACAGACTGCATGTCTTTAGTGTTCAGAAGCAGATTTCCCACACGGCTTATTCTGGTTGTATTTCATCAGGTGGAGGAGGACTTGAGACGTCTGAAATACCCAAATCAGCTTCAGCTGCCCTTAGAACAGATCCAGGCCAAGCCATAAGTGACACCCAGCAGGAAGGAGTGAGACTCTGCGCCAGATGTGTGATTATTCTGATAATGCCATATTTTTACCTTGAAATCTGATTCTGTAGAAGTTCCCTTCTTTGCATTGTTGCCATATTGTATCCTCATCATAAACATTGATAAATAAAGTTTGCATTTCAGATGGTTTTGTACTTTCTTGTCTGTCAGGTTGTGTATTTGTACGTCTGTTTAATGAGATGTGGACGTATAACCACTCGTTGAATTATTTGTTGCATTGCTTTATTTTTGCTAATATTGAAAATAAACTAAGGATCCTCCGGGAAGAGATGGACAGTGTAACTAGACAAGAGGAAGGGCTGGGTTTCCTTTCTGGGCCTGCTGCGTTTCCATTGGGTGGAGGACAGTCTCTAGGTTATACTACATGTGAAAGTGTTATAGCAAAACGATTTTTTCCTATATTTCTTGTATCTGGTACAACATCATGTTACAGATGCACATTAGAAAGCACTTTGTTCCTTCTGCCTTTGTCTGATGATAGCGGAGACAGACTTTTGTTCTCTTTATGAGGATAAAATACTAAAACAGGGTTTATACAGGAGTAACTCTAATGCTTTTTATTAGTTTTAATGCCATCAACAAATAAAACATGGCAAAATCTTTCGTTTTCCAGCCACTTTTGTTGAAATTTGCATTTTTTCATTCTCTAGCTTTTTCTCCGCCTCAAGCTTCTTTTCCGAACACACAGCTTTACGATCCACTGGAAGCAGTTCCACGCAAATATATCACAATATCAGATTAAATTGTTTTTTATAAATGTTTTTTTTTTTATTAAATGAAGCATTTTGAATGCCACGATAATCACATTTAATTAATTTGAATGCCAATTAAGGCCTTTAATTAAAAAAATATATAATTTAATGACTTTTAATGATAACTGGAGTATTCTGCCCAGGATTATACCACCTATTGTCCACCAGGTGGTGCTAGTGACCTTCCAGTCACAGGCCTTTGCAGCCATGCTGTAATTTAAACCCACCTGTTCAGGTGGCTGATTCTAGCTTTTTTACTCTGAAGGAGAGGTGTGAAAATGTTTTTCTGTCCACGTGTTTCACTCAACATTTCAAGAGACAGTCCTTTTGACCACTTGCCCGTTACTTTTTAAATAATATTCCTCATTTCAGTGTGCTGTTCTCCCTTTTCTTGTAGAAATGGTGAGAACTCTTGGCAGATGGAGTAACTGGAATTATCAGAAAACCCTGCAGGGGGGAGCAGGAAGTAGGAGTGTAATCCCTGTGGAAGTTCAGTCCTTTTCCTTCACACATCACTGTAAAACATGCTGCTGTACTCAAATTCATCTTCCTGGGTTTCAGTGGATGGCACCAAACGTTCCTGGATTCCCCAAAACTAATGAAAACCTTCCTTTTGTTTTACTTATATTAGCTTTAGGCAATAAAACACTGCAAAACAATCTAAAAATAAGTAAATATGTCTTAAAATAAAATTAAAATTCCTCTTAATTTCAGCAGGTAAATAAGATCTATCATTGGAATGAGTATTTTCACCATTAAAATAAGATTAAATATTATGCAATGCACTTTTTTCTTTTTTTAAATGTAAATAATATGTAATAATTCAACCGGCAAAGTGCCTCAGCTACTCAATTCAATAAAAAACTGACCTAAGATTCCGTTTTGTTTTTTACCAAAGGCAAAAAAGAGAAGACATCTGGAGCTTGGAATACATTAGAAAACTATAGTAGATATTTATAGATATTTCTGCCTGCGGGACGGCAGGATTTGTTTCACACTAATTCCTCCTGGTTTGGGGGAATGAAGCTGAAGAAAGCTGTGTTGATGCTGCGATTCCTACAGGAAATATTTAAAATATAAAAACACATTAAGTGGATGATAGTAGTAATGGGTTCATGAGGCATCATGAATCGTTTTAACACATTGGCAAACTGTATTGATACTGTGTCAGTCAATACAGACACCTGCTGGACATTTAATTCCTTAATATGATTTAATTCATTATTTGCTATAATGTATTTCATATTTTCTTTTATTGAAAACACGTATATTTTTTGTTGCAATTCATAAATGTGAACATATGAATGAGGATATTTGTGGACTAGGATTTTATTTAAAATAACTACAGTAAAACCAGCAAACTTGCCCTGAGGCTGCTTCATATTTCTTGATTAATTTGATGATAAACCACAAAAGATCAGAATTTTTTTTGGCAGCTGCATTGTGTTGACAGATGTGCTTATATCTTATCATGGTTAAACCAGTAATTGTTTCCTCTAGATAAGATAATTATCTCGTTATAACGAGGAAACAGTTATTGATTTCTTGAGATAACGAGATAAATAACCTTTATGATTAATTAATGAGGCTGGCCAGCAGCCCGGGATTCCCAGTCCATCCATGCCTGCAGGGCCCCTAGTTATGCAGAAGCGGTACCGTGTGTCTGCGCAAATAATAAATTAGGATTTATTTATTTATTTAAAATAATTACAGTAAAACCAGCAAACTCAAGAGTCGATTTGAAATCAGTTTGAATCAGATAAGTTGAGCGATAACTGAGTGAAAATCTAGACAAGTCATTTTTTTCTTAAAACAAGTGTATTTGTTCTTAGATTGAGGAAGTAAAAGAGACATTTTGCCAATGGAACATTACAATTTACACTTAAAATAAGAAACCACAATTGTATTGTCTTATTTAAAGTCCATATTATTTATATAATAATTATCTTATTTTAAGAATAAAAATACTAATTCCATTGGAAAACTATGTCATTTACCTACTCAAAAGATAAATACACTTTAATTAAGAAACTGGCTCTGACTTATGCTGATCAGAGGCGGGTGCACTGCAAAAACGATCTAGAAATAAGTTAAAATTTCTTAAATCAAGTGTATTTACCCTTAATTTGAGTAGGTAAATGAGATGATTTGCCAATAGAATGAATATTATTACTATTAAAAATATTATATTTAGATAAAATGCACTTGAAATAAGAAAATGGAATTGTGTTTTCGTATTTTAAATGTAAATTATCTTGTTCCATTGGCAAAATGTCTCTTACTTCCTAAATTCAAGAACAAAATGCACTTAATTTAAGAGAAAACGACTTATCTAGATTTTGTTTTTTTTCCACCCTCGCTCTGAGGGTTGGAGTCTAAACAGCTCATTTCCAGGATGTGTGGGGGTCTGCAGAGATGCTAGCAGTCCTTTAAAGAAGGAAGGTCAACCCAGACAATCCTCTCTGCAGGCCCAAATACTTGTCGTTGTTTGGATCGGTGCGGTTAGCGGGTCTCTTCCTTTTATGCGATGTCATCAGAGATGTGCTACAGTGAGATATTTGGCAACGCAGCCTTAATCTGAATGAAATCAACAAATGGAAACAAAATAAACTTACCAAATGTTTTAAAGGGATATATTTAAAAAAATCTGTCTGATCGCTTAAAAGCTCTTGCTTCTATTTTTTGGTCTAATTGTCATGAAGAACTTAAACAGATTTGAAATAAAAATGATACAGATCAGAAGAAATAAAAGGTTTTTATTTTATTTTTTAACAGCTCATGAACACAGAAACATTGGATGGGTATAAAAAACAGCTGGAATGGATTCATGGTCGCGGCACAGCTTTAAGGAATGAAAACAGCCTCCATGAGGCTTCCTGAGGTTCTGTTTGTCTGTACCTGTAGACCAGACACTCTATTTCCCTTTTTCTATTTAAGGAATGGACTTGTATTCAGACTGCCTGTACCGTTAGCTGCTTAGATAGAAATTAATAATGGAGTGAATATTCTTTCATTAATACGTGGGGGGAAAAAAATTTAAATCAGGACACAGAAAAGTCAAAATAAGCTTTTGAGTGAATCTTAATCAAAAAATTTTTTTTGATAAACAAGTTTTCAAAGTTATATCTCTAATTGCCCTTTTTTTTTTTCAAATATCCATTAAAAAAAATTGTTTTTTTGTAAAAATAACAGAACAAATTTGACTCCATATAAATCTGCTGTAGCCTCTGAGGAGAAACCTGAGAAGAGAAAACCCCTGAACCCAGCAGGTCGTTACGCCGGTAACCCACCTCACAAAATTCATTACGGAAAAAATGAAGCACTAAACCTAAAAAAACTCCCTGACAGTTTACAGACAGTGTGATTTACGAATGGAATGTTTCTTTTTAAATCGTCTAGTTGGACATTTTAGGAGTTCTTAAAAGTACAGCATTAATTCTGATCTTAGTGGACTGAAGCGAAGCTAAAACCCGCAGCATCATCTGAAAGACCAAGGCCCTTCAGAAGGACTGAACCTTGACGGTTGGCTGGTTTGTCTGGACGTTACTTCATCTTTCGGAAGTATAGTTTCTTGGTGAGCATGGAAGCAAAACACGGCACCTGCTTCTTTCCGATAGCGCTGCGGTCGTTGCTGTTCCCCACGCTCCTCATCGAAACCTTTCTGTTGACCAGCGTGAGCAGCTCCGTGAACTCCAGGGAGCCGCCGTGCTTCCGAAGCAACTCGCACAGATCTTGGATGTACCAGGAGCCGTTGACGGTCTCTCTGTGGGAGTAGAAACCTGAAGGAAGACGGCAAGAAAAATAGAAAAGAGAAGTCTGGAAGGGCAGCAAACCTGAGTGGTTTCACTGTAGGTCATCTTTTTCTGCTAATGACACTTAGAAAAGAAACACTTCTGGGACTTTTATCCTTTATGGACAAAAATTGCATTAATTTGACACAACTTTTAACTTAAGAACAGTTTCTCTAATTTCTCTACTAACTCATTGAATGAAAAAAAAACTAAATCTACCAAATGCTGGAAAAGCTTATTTATCACAAAATCTTAATCGTTCTGTTATTTTCTATCTGATTAAAAAGTAGCTGGACAAAAAAAAATAACTTTAAGGAATCGCACTGTAAACACTTTCCATCTCACCTGTTTAGAACCAACATCAGTTTAGAAGTATGGAAGCCCAGGGCAGTCATACTCGAATTTAATTATTTTTTTGCCTTCTCGACATAATGACGGTTAAACCATTCAATTGTTTTCTCGAGATAAGAAGATAATTATCTCGTTATAACAAGAAAGCGGTTATTGATTTCTTGAGATAACTAGATAATTAATAATAATAATAATAAATCCAATTTGTACCGCACTTTTCTTTAACAAAA